CAGTGGTCATAATCGTGGTCTCATTGGTAGCATTGGTGACAGTGAGCGGTAAGCGATGCCCGCCTTAATCGGTGTCAACGAGTTTGTGTCGGAAACCAAGGATGACATCAACTCTCCCACCACCTCGTCGTTTGTCTCGCGAATGGCTCACTGCAGACAAATGGTGTCCACTCTGGAGGAAGTATGTTATGTCTTGTACTATGATTTGATAGGAAATGATGGCTCGAATTGGTTGTGTCTGTCGAGTGGTGACAGTTGTGGACACTCGCGGACACTGACTGCCAATGAGTAGTCATATGAATGGATGTCTTCGTGATTGTAATGTTTGGTGCGATTGTGTACAGAGTCTGGACTTCGATAGGGATGGGTTGACCAAAATGAAGAAAGCCGTCAAAGCCATCTATAATGGAGCCAATGGTACGTCTGTTGTGTCCATTGTTTTGCTCACAGTTTGTCTCAATTATCGCTCAATTAAACGGTTGTCTACTTATAGTCGTTGTGTTGAGTATATAACGGATAATGTGATGATAAGTGTTGCATATCTTAATAGCGATCGCATATCTAATAGACATTTGAACTCATTTTCCTCGAGTTTATCAAATGAAATGCAATATTAGTTCAAATTTTTTAGTTATAAAACATTTTTATATAGTATTTCCGTTTCAAATGATTTTTAAATAGCAAAGCAATAGAATTTCTACTATTCTTGAAATACATACAGATATGACTTCTATGTTATCACTAAATATAGTCCATTCGTTGTCTATTAAATTAAAATATTTATATTAATATATTTAGACAGCAAACGTGTATTTTGTACTCTTGACAGACTTATCACTGTTTAGACATTTGTAAACATATTTGACAAATGAATGCAAAACATATCAATTTGTTTGCGATTCTTGAACATAAATAATTGTTTGTTTAATAAATGCATGTATTTATAGCCCATATCGACAATGAGGTGTATTTGTCGAAAGCATTGGAGAGATTGGGAGCCAATGCGATGACCAAAGATCAGGAGCCGGACATCGGATCCGCTTTTATTAAGTTCTCGATTGTAACCAAAGAACTGTCAGCTCTTCTCAAGGCAAAGGTCTGTAACTAATTGTTAAATGCATTACTGATTGCAGAATATATGCTCACATAATATGAAGAGTTTTATTATTAATATTTAAATGACACGTTCGGGTGATCTCTAAATTATCTGCAAATTAAGAAAACCTATTCTCAATGGCAATCAATAGAGTGTTTGATTATTGAATTTAGAAACTTCGAGATAAATATCGTTGACATTACATGACCTCTGTTTGAGATATTTATTGATATTTTGCAAACTCGAGGCCTTTTTATAAACTATTTAATCGCTTCCTTTAACTCTTCAGTAATCGATTCGT